ATCAGAGCCCCCGCTGGGGGTCACCCGAGGTCAAAGTCGGGGCCTGGGGGGGTCACCAGACCCTTTGGTGTGGGAGGAATCCCCGGACGTTCTCAGTTCTGGAGCCCGGGCTGGGGTGAGGCCTTGGGTGCCCCTGAGCGCGAACGTTTGGCCTCCGCAGGTCAGAGACGCGCAGAGGCCCGGGGGCTGGGGGGCTCTTGGTAGCTTACAGTGGCATGGGGAGGCCCAGCCCCAGCTTTGGGGTCTGGCCCCTTTGGGGTGGGAGGGATTGCTGGACGTTGGCAATTTTGGAGATGGGATTCGGTCGAGGAGCTGGTCGACGCTGAGTTTGAACTTTTGGACTTGAAGCCCACAAAGCGACCAGAACCCAAAGGTGGGGCTGGCCGTCCCCACGCCCCACGCCAAACCCTGGGGCTCTGCGCTTCTCCTGCCCCCTTCAAGGCCCAGCACTCAAGGTCGAGCTTGGCCGAGGCCAAACCCCAGCCCAAAACTGCAAACGTCCAGCGATTCCTCCCACCCCAAAGGACCCAAAGCTGGGGCTGGGCTTCACCCTGCCTTGGTAGCCTCCCAGAAGCCCCACGGCTCTCTTCTGTCTTTCCACCCCCAGCAGAGCTCAGGTCCAAGACGCCTGGCGCCCAGCAGGGGGGTACGGGCTGTTGCAGCTTTGGGTGCAGCCAAGGGTGCTCAGGTGAGAGGGGTCCGGGCAGGGGGGGTGATAGCTCAGCCCAGGCAGCTCCCGGCTCCAGCTGCAGGCAGGGCTGGTTGCAGGCAGCAAGTGCAGGCAGCATTGGTGCAGCCCATCACAGGCATGGGGCCAGGCCCTGCCTTGCTGGGCCCACAAGGCACCCTCAACCTGGGAGCACCAACCATCCCACCCCGGACAGACTGTGTAGAGCTGGGCACCTCCTACCTGGTAGCACTGGCATCTCCCCTCAGCTGGGAGCACTTGCAATCCTCCCACAGCCACACTCTCCCTTGCTAGGGCCACTGGGATCCCCTTGTTCCCAGCACAGCAGTCCCCAGTGCCACCAGTACCACAGACCCACAAGGCACCCTGAAGTGGGGGCCACCACCCCTCCCATGCCTGCAAACCCCCATCTGCTGCAGGCAGGCAGCGGGTAGGAAAGGACCCCACGCACACAAATTTGCAGCACTGAATCACCCAGGTATCAGCGCTGTGCCAGGACCCGCTGCCTGTACCTGTTCACTCTGGACCCTACTGAGGACCTGGCGTAGCCACACTGCAGAACAGTCCTCACGACCACCCCCACCCCCCCACACCATCTTCCCCAGTAAGGGGGAAAGAAGGGGGCCACTGTGGTTTAATTCACTTTATTTAGACTCATAAAGGTAACTGCAGCCCAGCTGGACCGTGCACATGGGGCTGAGACCCAGTAGAAACGCAGCAGTAAGTCAGGAGCAGGGTGGGACAGGGTGAGCTGCAGCGGGGCGCAGCGCCCAGGCTGCCGAAGGAATGGTCAGTTGTTAAGAAGAGGGTTTACGAGAGCTGCCCGCAGTCGGTAATGGTGATCTTCTTGCTTGTTTTGCCATCTTTGGAGCCACAGCGCTCCATGGCCTCCACCACGTTCATCCCCTCCTTGACGCGGCCAAACACAACGTGTTTGCCATCCAACCTGCAGGAGAAGTATCAGTCACTGCTGGTGTCTGCTGTCCCCACAGAGGGACCACAGCACCAGGCCCAGTGTGCGACCAGGGTGGGTGCTGGGGACCTCCCACAGCCCCCAACTCACCATTCGGTCTTGGCAGTGCAGATGAAGAACTGGGAACCGTTCGTGTTGGGGCCGGCATTGGCCATGGACAGGATGCCAGGGCCTGTGTGCTTCAGGATGAAGTTCTCATCGGGGAACTTCTCCCCATAGATAGATTTTCCGCCAGTGCCGTTGTGGCGCGTGAAGTCGCCACCCTGTGAAAAAGCGGCGTTTCAGGGCACAGGCGTAGGAGAAGACCCTTGAACCGGGTGCAGCGGCCCTGCAGAGGCAGCAGGCAGAGCATCCTTCCCACACCAGATCTGCCAGCACCCAACACCAAACCCACGCAAGCACCAGATCCCTCACCCGCCCACCTCCCCGCTGCAGCCACAGCGCCTCGCACCTGGCACATGAACCCAGGAATGATTCTGTGGAAGCAGGACCCCTTGTAGCCAAATCCCTTCTCGCCAGTGCTCAGGGCACGGAAGTTTTCTGCAAAAAGAGAGGAAAACCACCATGAGCGGCTCGTTTTGTCCGGAGTTGGGGAGAGTCTGGGTTTGGCGCAGCCGCAGCGTGGCCAACGCCGCT